TTTAAAAAAAAAAAAAACATAAGGATATAAATCTTTTAATGAGCATATTTGTAAAAGGTAAAGAATTCATAGATAATTCTTCTTTGCAATTTTATTTTATTTTTATTGAAGAGATTTTTTTTAGTTTTGCATAATATAAATTTCTATGTCAAAGACGACGAGAATGATAAATTCTTATTCTATTCTATATTTGATGTACATCAACATAGTAAAACAAATAACGTTATGTCATTCATTTCAGTGTTTGAGATAAACAAAAAAAAAATATAAATTAAATTCAAATTAAAAATTACCTTTTTTTATCAAAATTAATATAAATTTTTAAAATTAATATTTATTTAATTTATTTACAATTAAATTTATTTTAGGAAAAATTATAATTAGAACAAAAGATTATAACATATATATATATATATATATATATATATATATATATATATATATTAAAACATATACTTTTCTAAAACAATTATAGATTTTTAAAAAATATTTTTATATAAAAAAATATTCATATAACTCTTTTATAAAAATATAAAAAAAATATATTTTAAAATATTTTTATAAAATATTAAAAAATGTATAAAGTATAAGTAAAAATATAATAAAAAAAGGTTACATAATCTAACCTATCATCCTTTTCTATTACCATTTTTAAGATAGGAATTTAAACTGTAATGATAATATAAAATAACTCAGCAGGATAAACTATCATATTTTATTAATAATTAAATATTAAAAATAAGATATGATATGATAAATTATTATATTTTTCCATTTTATTTTGTTGACCAAATAGACCCTAAAATTATTTAGAACATAATCTCTTAATATATGATAGTACAAATAAAAATAAATTTTAATAATAAAAAATAAAAATAAATCTAAAAGATAAAGAAATAAAATGTAAACTTAATATATCAATAAAAGAATCTTCTAGAATTGAGGAATGGATCACAACCTTCCTCAGTAGTTTAGGTTTGACACTTCTCTTTTATTCATTATGGGTATGACAGTACATACCTCACACTTAAATTAATTATGCTTAAATTAACTAATCAATAGTTTGTGAAATGTAAAAATATTTTTTAAAATAAATATATACAGAATATAAATTTATTTGAAAATTAATTTTTTTACAAAAATTATTTTAGCTTAATTTTATAACTACAAATAATATATATCAAATTTATAAATATTTAATAAAATTACAAAAATTTAAAATATGATTTATTTTAAAATAAGAGAAATAAAATAGTAAATATTATAAAATTTATATAAACAAAGATATTTATAGAAAATTTAAAATTTTATATAAGATAATAAGAAAAATTTTATAAATATAAATATAGAGATTCACAGAGAATTTGAAAATTTATATAAGTAATAAAAATAAAGTTAATTAACATCTTTTATTTCTAAAATTTTGAACAAAATTAATAAAAAAAGTAGGTTAAAAGTAAAATTATTGCAAGAAGGAAAGTTAATTCACACATTATTATTTTTGGATAATTTTAATATTAAAAAGTATACATGACAAATTATTCCCAGATGGAATGTTCTCAACTCATCAACCTAAGTGATATAAACGAAAGTCTCGTGCGGGAAGTGTATTTTTAGAATTAAAATTATCTAAAAATAGTTAATTACATATTTTCTCACTGTAATGATTTTATTTTTTATCTACCTTTTTCTAATTTCATTCTAAATACTGAAAATCAAAATTAAAACTTAAATTTTTTATTATCTTATATAATCTCTTAAATTTTTTGTGAATACTTATTTTTACATTTATACAATTTTTTTTATTACCTTAATAAGCTTATAAAATTTTCTATAAATACTTATATTTATATTTATAAAATTGTGTTTATTACGTCATATAAACTTTTTACATATAAACACTTATATTTACGTTTATTTAAAATTCATAATATTTAATCTATTGTTTGTGATACTTTTATCAAAATTTTCAATAATTACATACCTTTAATTTTATACATAGAAAATGTTTTCTTCAATAGAAATTGTAGAGTCTGTTGCTTCTGTTCATTTTTATTCTCAAAATTTTTATTGTTCTCAAATGCTCTTTTACAATCATTGATTTAGTTAATTATAACAAATCTATTTTTAACATTAGGATGTTTTTTTACTCTTTTTTATTTATCATAATATTATATATATATTTATATAATATGGATGTACTTTTTTAAATTTATATCTTTTAAACATAATATTATAGATGTAAATTATATTTTTATTGAAATATACATTATAATTAATCTAGCTTTTATTAGTGTATTATATTTTATTAGTTTTATTATGAAAATTTTTAATTTTTATGTTTTTAATCTTTATAATATATTTTAATATTTCATACTATATGTGTATGAACAATTAAATTAGTTTATAATATAAATGTTATTTTATAAGGTGAGGTATGAAGTTTGGCCATAACTCAATTTTAGACGTCTTTTGTTCTTTCTCTTGACTCTGACTTTTCACATTTTTAGTCTTGATCATAACTCTGTCTTTAAACTCTTTTTCATTTAACATTTTATCCTATCACGTAAAACATAAAATATAATTAAGACTTCAATCATAAAATTTAATATTTATGATTCCTAAATCTTAAAAGAGAGGTAGTTTCTAAATTTATTATCTCTCAAGAAATGTCATATAAACCTTTTTTGAATGAAATATATTCTCTATTATATATTAAGAGTGTAACTCATTTTCAAAGTTTTTCGTATCAAAGTTTATTGGTTTTTTGTCTTGTTATATAAGATAATTTTTTAATATAGATTACCAAATTTTAGTCATCATTTACTTAAAGTTTCAATAGTTATGTATAATAGTTTGTTTTTCAAATTTCAAAAAAATGTGATCGCTTAATCTAGAATTTTAAAATTTTAAAAAATATATTAAAACTGCACTTTACATAAATGTAGCCTGTGTGAAGCATACATTCCTAAATTTAAAGTACAGACAACAAAATCATATCACATTTTAACTAAAATATTGAGATATTATATAAAACATATGTAAATTTATTTTAAATAAAAACTTTTTTTAAAAGTTGTTATCTTGCTAACCATGTCACGTACTGCTCTTGTATTTAGTATTTAATTTTTTAATTTAACCTTGGCTGAATTTTTAATTTTTTTTTTATAATTTTACATTTTTATTTTTTAGTGAAATATATTTTCTCTCTTCACCTATGTTAAGGAGGGTAACTCATTCTTTAAAGTGGGTGTATTTTGAAATTCATCAACTTTTTACATTTTGCTATGTACGATAATTTATCTTTTAATATAAAATAATAAATTTTAATAATCAATTGTTTAAAATTTCTGCAATTTATTTTTTCAATGACAAAATAAGAATAGAATTATTTTTTTATCTCTTCTCTTTCCTCCCCTCTCGTTCCTTTAAAGTTCTACTCCTCTCTTTCATCTCACTGGAAATAAACACTCTTAAAAATAATTAAATGTAAACAATTTTTATATAAAAAAAATACTATTATTATATTCATATCTTAATTTTTAATAAACTACAAGCGTAATTTTATTTTACTTTATTTTATTTGTTAATTTCTTAATTTATGGCTGTAAAACAGTAAGGCCCAAATTTTACAAAAACAACGAGTACATTGTCATTTCAAAACATTTATCATCACTCTTTTTTAAATTTTTTTTATATAAATTACTATTTTTTATTTGATAATAATAATAATTAAATTAAAATATAAGATGTGAAGTCACAATAAATACTTTAAAATGACAGTGAAATTCTTTCAAACTATAATTAAGGATAGATAAAATAACTGGTAAAAAAGGACATTGAATATAATTTTAAAAAATCTAACAATGTAGTCTTTAAATTATTATTAATTATTAACTAAAATTTATTATAAAAAAATAAAAAAGCTAGGTCTTAGTAAACCATGTTACATTTTAAAGGTTAAACACCGAAGTTACTCTTCAAGTTACTATGGGACCAAATTGGATGTAAAGATTCTTTACCTATTATTGGTCGAGTTGACGTTACTACTACCAAGTATGAAGTAAGTAGATTCTTTATTCTTTACTAAAAGCTTATCCACACTCTGTGTTAACTGAAGGCAATAATTGCCAATCACGGCAAAGTCACTAAAAACTTGAAGAATGTTGAGCTTGTCCAAGTTTTAAAACTGCCTTTTGGAATTCTTATTCAAGTTGGTGTGACTTGGCAATATTACACATTTAGAGTATGTTTGCATTTATAATGCACACTTTTAAAGTGAATTTAAAGTTATTTCTTTTTTTTTTTTTAAGTTGAGTTTGCTATAAAAGTTAGGATAATTTAACATATTTGTAAAAAAGAAAAATTCCAATAAAAGTTCATGTATAATAATTTTTTTATTAAAAATTATATAATATCATAAGATTGAATATATTGATGACATAAAATATTGTAATTTTTAATAAAAATTATTGTTTATTAATTATTTAATGTGATCCTTGAATACACATAAAAGAACTAAATTATTAAGTAACATTTCAATGCAAATAAGGATAATTAAGTAGCATTTGAATGGAAATGTTCCATGAACATATTTTGGCAGTAACTAATCGCGATGAAGCAAACATAAAATAGGGTGTTCTAATATTGAAAATCCACACCCTAAAACAACTAAACAAGGTATTGAAGAAGAAGCACCAGCACATGGCAAGAAAGAAGTTGAAGGAAAAAGGAAAAGCAAGAAAAATAAAAAGAGCAAAAGTATAAAGATAGGTAGCAGATGGGTGATGCAGGAAAGGGCAGCAACTCACAACCCCTTTTCAGGACCCTGATTACACCTCTTCACCTAAAATAACATCCCTAAAATTTTCAATTCCCAAAATGCCCATTGAAACAGTTAAACAAAATGAAATCCAAAGGGCGTAAAAGTAAACAAAGAAAGAACAGTATTTTTTAATAAATCAAATACAAAGGAGAGAAAAAGAGGCCCGAATGAAAATGCAAGGCCCACACTCCTTCGCAGAAACATTTACAAGAAGCAAAAGGAGAAAACAGAGAGAAAAAAGTGGAGGATTGTTGAAGAGAGACCACACACACACCACAAGTCTTTCACTGACTCTCCCTCCTACCTCCGAAACAAAAGCTTCAATTTTAGTCACAATTTCTCACTGCAAAGAAAAATAAGAAAAGGTTTAAAAATAAAAACAAAAAGAACAGAACTTGTGGTGGCCAAAACAGAGAAAGGAGTCATTTACGAGTTTTTGAAGCAAAAGGTTAAATATTTTTTATAGATCAGAGGGTGATGTCGTGTTCTTCTTCATCTGGGTCTGAAGAAGACGATGAGGGGTTTGATTCCTATCGGAAAGGAGGGTACCACGCCGTCAGGGTCGGCGATCAGTTCGCTGGCGGCAGGTACATAGCGCAAAGGAAACTGGGTTGGGGTCAGTTTTCAACCGTTTGGCTTGCCTATGATACTACCACATCAGTATGTTTGATCCTCACTTTTTTCGGTTTTGTTAATTTTTCTTTGTTATTTGGTTATTTGCTTCCAAAGGGGTTGTTTTGAATTGCCTCTTTTCTCTTGGTCTGTGATTTGTGTTTTAATGCGAAAAAGTTGGCGATTTTCTTTCAATCATCATGACTATCTGTTTTAAATCTGTAGGAGCATTGGAGGGGGGGGGGGGTTAATTAATTCTGTGCTGGTATATTTGTTTTAATTTTTTCTGCTTTGAATGTTGTTGTGGTGGTTACAAAGTTTTTCTTTGGTTGAGTCAGTGTTCCGGAATTTATACATGTAAGTTCTAACATGTAATGTAATTGGATGTTTTATTTAATGTTTATTTTTTTCTGGTGCTTTTCTCTTTCTGTTTTTCCTTTCTTTTTACTGTATAAACAATGGTTTATTGGTTCTTATGTGTGTGTTTTAATAATTTATGCTGTCGGTTTGTGTCTCAAGGGTATTGTTTGATTGAATGGATCGAATTGATTTTATAGATTATGCGCATATTTACTTGCGCGTCTAAATGCATTTAATGTGCGTATTCTTTAACGTTACACAGTGTAGCTTCTGGGGATTTGATGCGCATTGAGTCCAGACATCTGCTATAATATATTTAACAATCTTGTTTTCTTCTGGTGGCATGTGTTTTCCATCATGTGTCAGAAATACATAAAAAATCTTGCTCGTTGGAATGACATAATTGGGGAATGATCACCATAAAATGTGACCACCTGGAATGCATAGATTTATCTGTTAGTAGAGGAGCAATAAATGTGTCTCTGCACCTCTTCGATTTTATTAGGCTTAGGATGATACTGATTTGGTAATTGTGTGTTATGTTCTTCTTTAATGTGAGTGTGTGTCAGTTTCATTGGACGGCCTACACTGAGCTACATATGGAAACACACACTCTGAATTTCAAATCTAATGCAGTGGAGCTGAATGTTTAGATAGATTTGGCTCCTCTAAAATGAGGGGTGCAGTTTAGAGAATAAAGTACAGAGTTATATCCGATGATGGGAAAATTAATGGAGTAGATTTTAAGCGCTTCATAGTTTTTAATACATTTGATGTTGTATCACAATCTAAACTATAACAGATTTTTCAATCCACCATTGTAACTTTGCACTTTACTCTCTAAGTGCATGGTCACTTTTGAGATTCAAATGTACTTAAGACTCTTTTTTACATGCACTCCCTTCCTCATGGATCCAGATCATGTGCTACCATTCAATCACTTATTGTAGGATCTGGCTAGAGGCTTAAATTTAGAAAAAAAAGGAACCAAAAGAAAGAAAAAAGTAAAGAAGAAAAATAGAAGCTTAATGTGTATAACTTGCGCACACACACAATATCCATGTAGAACCAGACCCAAGTATTATCCTTTCGTCATCTAATTTGTTCATGTATCTAATGTTTAATTAAAAAATCTTCTATAAGGGCTTGTGTGTGTTCTCTTTGATTTTGCTCCCAGATAGTGCTAACTTTTCCAAAACATACACTTTTCTGATTTCAAGTTTGTGATTTTCAGACATATGTTGCCCTCAAGTTCCAGAAAAGTGCAGCCCAATTTGCTCAGGCTGCCCTTCATGAGATTGATGTTCTTTCATCCCTTGCTGATGGTGCTGCTATGAATTCAAAATGTGTTGTCCAATTGATTGACCACTTTAAGCACACAGGTCCTAATGGCCAGCACCTTTGCATGGTGCTGGAATTTCTTGGAGATAGCTTGCTCCGTCTAATCAAATATAGCCGCTATAAAGGCCTTCCAATGGATAAAGTTAGGGAGATTTGCAAATGCATTTTGATTGGTTTGGATTATTTGCATAGAGAACATGGTATTATCCATACAGACCTAAAACCAGAAAATGTTCTTCTGGTTTCTACCATTGATCCTGCCAAAGACCCTCTTAGATCTGGACTATCCCCAATATTAGAGAGGCCTGAGGGAAATATAAATGGTGGAGTTACAAGTCTTATTGAGAAAAAGTTGAAAAGGAGAGCAAGGAGGGCAGTTGCTAAAATATCTGGAAGAACTGCTTCAATAGGAGGAACAGAAGCGCTAAAATCTGATAGAAATATTGATGGGATTGATGTGAGATGCAAGGTCGTTGATTTTGGAAATGCATGTTGGGCTGATAAGCAGTTTGCTGAAGAAATTCAGACAAGACAATACAGAGCTCCTGAAGTAATACTCCAGGCTGGTTATTCCTTCTCTGTTGACATGTGGTCTTTTGCTTGTATTGCTTTTGAGCTTGCCACTGGTGATATGTTGTTTACACCCAAGGTTGGACAAGGTTTTAGTGAGGATGAGGTATGACAATTTTCTTAGTAGTACACTATTATGATAATGATTCAAGTTATGTTAATATATTATCTTCTTAATGAATGGTTGTATTTAAGATAATTGTTAGCTTATAGGCTTTTTACCTTATATTTTCTTGCTATTAATGCAAGGAATAACTACGTATATACTATATTGTTTTAAATTTTGGCCAATGAATTCATGAGTGTTCATTAAATGTAATATGCTCATATGTTCGTGGAATGAAATGCTTATGGAAGAATATAAAACTGTTATCTAAGGGTTCCAAACTAGAGAAACCTTATGGTAAGATTTTGCTTGAAATGATATAATAGAGATGTTATTAGATCACTCTTTTTTTTTCAGGTGAAATTCTAATTTTGATTGAAAAGCAAAATGCCTAAGAAACTGCACCCTAAGTCCAAGAATTATTACTTTACTGTAGAATGTGAGTAATGTTAATCACATGATGAGATAAATACAAGAAGATTCTTAAAAGCAGAATTCATTGAAGCTAACATTGTTACCACATACCAGTTCATTTGATGTCAAGCTGGCATATATTTGTACATTCTTTGTAACAGTAAAGAAATTTTCATTTGACAATTTTGGTTTCAGAACATAGTTTTGATTGGAATTTATACAATATCTATCTCAAATCCCAAAACTTCAGCATTCTTTCTGTTGCTGGTTCCTTGGTTCTGTATGACTGAAAGTGAATTACAATTCATCATCCACAGATGGGTTTATGATCATGTATTAAAGAATCAATCTAAATTTACATTTTTCTACATAGTTTTTATCTTTCACAACCTTAGTGAGAGAAGAACTAGCAAAGATGTGCTTTGGATAATTCCTTTATGGGCATTTTGTTTCTAAAAATTATATTTGTATTGGATGAAATTATGTAGGTTGGTATTTTATTAGTATTATTGATTGCTTTTTAACTAAAACTAATCGTGTTGGAATTATTCTTTGGTTCATCTTAAAAGTGGAAATTTTTTTTGTTCTTTTGGCTATTCATGCTACTAGTTACCAAATGTTAGAATAGTAAAACTTTGCGCTGTCTTGTTTTCAGGATCACCTTGCTCTGATGATGGAACTCCTTGGAAAGATGCCCCGGAAGGCAGAAAACTCTCACTGTCTCTGCATATTATTTAAATAACTATTATCACAAATCTAATACCTTTCATGTTGCAGATTGCCACGGCTGGAGCAAAGTCCAAGGATTTCTTTGACAGACACGGGGATCTCAAAAGGATTCGAAGACTAAAGTTTTGGCCACTTAACAAATTGTTGGTTGATAGATATAAATTTGCAGAGAGTGATGCTCATGAATTTTCTGAGTTTCTTTTACCACTTCTAGATTTTGCGCCTGAGAAGCGGCCAACTGCGCAGCAGTGCCTGCAACATCCATGGTTCAAGGGCATGGAGTCTACTCCAGATGAAATGGGAAATGAATCTAGTGTGGAAAATGTGGATGTTGGGATGAGCAACCTTAAAATCAAGGTGGGAAAGTGAAGGGGAGAAAGATATTTGACAGACACCCTCTAAGACCCTCCTCCTTCCACATGAATGACTATTGATTGTGATCTTTTTCTTTTGTTTGGTCAAATTTAATAAGATTTATTTTTTTATTGGATTAACTGCTACAGAGATGTAAATTAGTAAAGAATTTTGTTTATCCAGAGATATCTGACACAATTTGTGTGTATATTTACCACATGATTTAAAGTGATGATGGCATTCATCCAAGTCAAGTCTAATGTTTTTCTCCCAATTCAAGTTGCAAAGATAGGAGAAAGGAACTTTATGTTAATTTGAACACTGTTATGCAAAGGTACGTTTCTAACGTGAGTACATTTTGTTGCCAACATGAAACAACCATGTTATGTGAGTAAGTGGAAAATATTATGTAAACTTGATCTTTAGTAAACTAAATGTTACAGGCTTAATTTTGAGTAAAGTGAAAAATAAAAATATTAAAATGCCAAAGGAACTTCATAGATTGCCAAAAGGACAAAGGCGAACGCCTCTCGAGTGATTTGTAAGTGTCAAGACGTAAAATTTAACCAAAAAAAACAAAATTCAATTAAAATGTTCCTTAGAAATGTGTGTGAAAATACACCAAATCATTTTATTTGAATATTAGGGCCTTACCTGTAGCAAAGTCAAGCCTAAACTATTTATGAAATAAGTTAGGTTTAATTTTTTTTTAAAATAATTATTTAATTAAAAATGTCCAAATTTTAGGTCATTTAAAATTTTTTTGACCTATCAAATTATCTTATTTAAGTAAATAAGAACAATCACAACATGTAGACATTAGTATTATTATTATTATACAAAAATATTTTCAAATGATATGCTTGTTAGATGAGTTTAAAGAAAATGATAATGTTTACCAATCATGCTAGAACATTAAAGATCAAACTAAAATTTAAAAGTTATCTATATGTCAAGTCAATAAAGTTTATTATTAATGAACACCTAAAAACATAGTTTTTAGATACTTAGAAAATCAAATCATTTAAGGATCAACTGAAAGTAAGACTTTCTAACTATGGTTTTACCTACTTAAGATTTAAGGCAACCAACTTAATCATAAATTAATTTTATCAACTTTTGTCTAACACTCAAAGGGATGATGTAATTAATAATATATAAAAGGGATTTTCTCTAAATTGCTTTTTATCCAAGTTAAGATTAGAAAACTGATCAATCCAAGTATGCCGACATCTCTAACCTTATTCAACACTTTAAAACAAACTTTTCACATGGAGATATTAGTTCAATGTCAAATTATATTTAATCTTCAAATTTTAGTCATTGCATCGAGTAAAAGTATTCAACATCTCTTAAGAGTTACAAGAAATGTATCATAATTTACAGGATATGCAACATGTTCCTAAAATCAATGTGTATATATATGATAATAAAATAATATCAAAATAATTAGGTAAAAAAAAATGATCAAAATAAGACATTTACTTGTCATCAAAATAAGAAGGCCATTACTATGCATTAACTTACGAGTTTTAGAGGACTTGGTTTTTGGCTTTTTTTTACTAAAGCTATATAATTTTATAAAATTAATTATCAAATTAATAATGTTTCAAAATAAAAAGTGAAATAGGTTAATTTTACAGTAAAATTTTTATATAAAGCTAAAGTAATAGATACCACATTGAAGTGAGACACATTTTACAACAAAAATTTTACACTTTGGTGTAAAGTCTAGTGAATAGATGACATTTATGAAATGAAAAATATTGTTGAAAAGGCTCCACAATCAGTGATATAACATCTAGCTACCCTTGGTGTGTGGTGCCTATTAAAGGGCGATATACAAATAGAGTGCGATATGTGTTAGTTTCTGCTTACTTGACACATTCCAGTTTTGTTACATAAATTACCTTATACTCTTTCATACTATTTGTCAATATATAATTTCCTATGATCTCTTATCCTCAATTATTCCTATTTTTTCTTATACATAAAATTCTTGATGATTTAAATCTTACTATGTAATTTACTTTTTTTTATTTTGTATTTTTGTATTTATTATTAAAATTTGGAGGTATAAAAAAATAATCTTTAAAAATGAGTCTGTTGTGCAAATTTGACAAGTGTGCCCATTATGTTGAGCAATATAAAATGAATACAGTGTTATTCCCTTGAGGATTACCGATATTTAATTTTACTACTATTTGAACTACAAATTGAATCAAAGGAATGACTTTCATGCTATGTAAAAATGTTAAATTCTACAATAAGTAAATAATATAGAGAATAAAAATTTTAATCAATCAAAGTTTTAAGAAACAATAATTACAAGTGTTAAGGTTGGAATTCTTTCAATTCTCTTCTTATATACCTTAATTCCTCTTTTAATCTAAAATTTATCCTCTTAATTAAAGATTGTGTAACGGCCTTATTTTATTATTAAATTTGTGAAATAATTTATATATATAAGAGGAAAAATAAAAATGAATTTATTTATAATCTTAAATCTTAATATGAAATTTAACAAAAATTTAAAACTTTTATCCTTGTTACTTAATTTATAAAGTATACTATTATTCAAAATGATAAAAGATAAACATCTATCAATTCGTTTAACGTGTCAGGACCCCTTTTTATAAGGAATCGAGAATATTGTTTCTACATCACATACTTATTTAAGGTAAATAAATAATAGAGAATATAAGTATGAAATTCTCTTCTCATTCAAATTAAAACAAAGTTTCTTACAACAAATATCCAATAAAACAACACAATATTACATTTAGTTCATAATATTCAAAATACCCAAAATTATACTACGTAGCTTCCTTTATATGAGATCTCAAAATATAAGGAAAAAGGACTTAGATGCAATATTACTCGACTTCGGCTTCTAACATTTCTCCACTAGCCCCTCAGCTTGTGAAGTAGATGCAACACCTGCTATATCTGCTCACGTACCACCGTACGATCATCGCAGTACACACGCGCACAACGACATAGAAAGAAATGCAAGGGTGAGCTTACAAAAATAAAATAAAATCATATATATAGAGCAAAATATTTCTCACAGCAATAGCCCCATGCATTTCTAACCCATCTAATGCACAGCATGAAAACGGTTTCCAACTAGTTTCACAGCCTAAGTAATCCAGAAGGAACCGAGCCGGTCCGAGAGCGACCCATTCCAGTATTTGGATCCAGATAGCACAGCACAGCATAGCACAGCAGCTAAGCATGAACTTACCGTTACACGTCTACCCACCTAAACATGTAACTCGGCTCTATAATAATGCAAAACATATTTTTCGGAATGATGCACACCGCCAAAATTATTGTAACAGCTTAGCTAAGGCAAGTATATAATAGATCAGCCAAAATCTCAGCATTTTAAATCAATTAACAACAGTTACAGCTTAGAAAATAGCTTTTATTCAAAAGATCTAACAAAATTCATATCAAAACTTCTTGTAATAATATATCAACTGTCCAAAACATAGATTATAGGCTAAAGTAAGCTCCCCTTACCTCAGAACGACGATTCACACTAGATCTACCGAATATTACTTGTTTTATAGCAAGATTCACCAAAGATTTGGCTTTAGAACGGAGTTTCTCCTAAGAACACCATGAACTTCTATGAGAAAGAGAAGAAGAAGAGAAACAAACGGTAAATCTAGCTTTAAACTTAAAGAAACTTACTTCAAATCCTTCAAAATGGGCCCAAAATCACAGATCTGCAAAGAAATCTAAGTTTAGGAGGGTTTAATATAAGAGAAAATGGTAGTATACAATCTTAGAACCTTTAAGAACCTTGGATAAGGGTGAAAAAATGAAAATTTTATGTGAAGCCCCTTTTTTATAGAAAATTTTCAAAATTTACTGTTCATCGCCTTACTGTTCATGCCGGAAACACTGTTCAGGACACTATTCACGCCAGAAAATACTGTGCACGCGTACTGTATACATATATGATGTCAGCAGTCACTGTACATACGCAGTTTTTACTGTTCATACACGGTTTATACGCGATTTTACTATTCACAAGAGGTTTTACTGTTCATTGACACTGTTCATACGGTACTGTTCACATTTTTTTTTTAATAATAAATTTCAAACTCTATCTAATTATATTCCAATACCAAATAATCCTTTAATTAACATTTAACAAGTATAAAATATTATAGATTACTCAATAATAAATCACTAGCCTGACATAACGTATAGAATAAATTTACATAAAAATTGTAAGATGATATACATATATTTACTTTCGTTCAATCATAAAAGTTTAATAATTACAGATTATGATTCCAAAAATACATTATGACCCATTTACATAATTTACAGAAGAATCAAAATGTCTTAAGTCTTAATGAGCAGTTTGTTTCTAAACCAAAATACTAAGAACACAATCCTAGTTGTCATCCTCAAACTAACTCTCTAACTCTTCCAGCTCTTTCGGCATTAGGTCCTTATCATAGAGATCTCCAGCGTCAGCAACAACCTTTGTATCAGTCACCTGCTCTTGAGTGAATTCAATTGGTCTTTTAAAGTGGTCATGATCGTGGAAGGTGCATACAAAATTATTGTTGTAGGTGTTCTAACTATCTCTCTCTCTCTCTCTATATATATATATATAATCTAAGAGTATGGTGAATCCTATTATTAACAAGGTAATCAAAAGGGACATTATACTCCATTGTCATTTCTAAAGTAAAAATGTCTTCTAATTCGCCATTACAATATACAACAAATTTACAATGACAAATACATTGTCACTTTCTAAATACATAGTTTAATCTACTGTTTACTAGCCACTCAAATAATCTAATAGGTCTCTAGGAAGTAGTCATCCTACTTTCTTGAAAAGTTTAGTAAGGATGAGTTTTTCTTCTCACTACTTAACATGATCAAATCAATAGTTCCAAACCATACATATTTCAAATATCACACCCACTAGTCAATAATAACAAATACATTCACAACAAATATGCATACAATATTTATTGATATTATAATTTCATTCTATTGTCACTCTTAATATTCGTGACTCATATCTCAATCGTTCATTGCCCCTAGATTCCTTGAGGTCTTCATTTATATAGATAGTTGCTAATTAGTCGTAGCAACACAGATACAATGTGTGCCAATGCGACTCGTTTTAGCAAAAGCATGGTCAGAAGTTTAGGTCAGGAAATGAGTGTGAGACCTGTGATGCTTTTACTCTTATAATTATGCGTAATCAAAGAAAATCATTCACCATCCTTATTTCTCCCAAAATTTCAAAATCAGCTTTATCTTCCACACTCCCAATGTATCTCTATAACTATCCACACATATCCTTATCCTCTTTCATTTCTCATTGTAACATAGATTCATCACTCTTATAATAACATAATCTTTCATCCATTTCTATTTTTCATTATATTCAGGTTTACTTTTCAGATCATACATCAATCAACCATGCCGAAGTTTGAACATCTTCAAACTCACTCTAATTGTATATGCTCAACAAAATATATAATTCATGTCATCATCAAGAACAAAGAAAACACACTTCATCAAATTAAATAAATTATCAACCGTCTCATTCAAACACATATTTTCAAACAAAAGAACATATAGCCACCTACATGAACTCAAAATACTTTCAATAACTTATATAAAATCATACTATCACACGTTTATGAGTAAAAAATTATGTCATATTTTTAGTAATAGAATAAAGCTCTCCTTACCTTAAAGAGATAGTTTTCTGAAGAGTTTTGTGGAAGATATCATTTGAAAGGCCAAGATTTTCCTATATATTTCAAAGGAGAGTATTTTTTGAGAAAAGAAGAAAAATAAGAAAATAGAGGTGAGATTGAAGAATTATGCTCCAATAAACTTACTTGAGATTTAGTAAAACGGATATTCGAGTTCGGATTCAGAGAAGTTTGGAGCTCATGGGTTTTTCTTTAAGGGAAAGGGAAGAGAGTTAGAGAAAAAAGTGAGAAAAAATTTCTTAGATTGCAATGCAAGTTTTAAAATAGAAAATTTCTTAAATATTATTTAAAACTCATGAGTTCTCGCTTGAGCGAGGAGACTCTCACTTAAGCGAGATCACCTCGCTTGAGCAAGCCATTTCTCGCTTGAGTGAGAAAAACACACAATGATTTTTCTTTAGTTTTCTGATATTCTTGCCTAAGTCAGAATGTGTCTAGAGAGCTCTCCATTTTTTGTGACTTTTCGCCTGATTGAGAGGACAATTGTGGCAATATTATCTTTTCTTGCCTGAGCGAGACCCATCTCGCCTGAGTGAGAGTGCCCCAAAAATGCCTAGTAAAACTCTGCTAATTCCAAACAACATGCACTAACAAATAACATAAAATGCAATAATAACAAAACAAAATAAGGGTGTTATAGATTGAATTCACTATATTAAGTTATACTCAATTCCTTGAATACTAGTACCTTTGTTTAATTGAAGAATTAAGTGAATCTCAATCAAGCAAGCATTAAGCAAAAGAATTTAAAAGATTTAAAAAGTAGGATTTGTGTGATAAAAATTTAATATATTTTAACCATAATTAATTAAATAAATATTTTTAATTGGTCAAAATGTAGTTGTTTAGATATTTTCTTTTAATTATCAAATTATTAATTAATTCATTGAATTAAGCTAAGAATTATTCTAATGTAGCAATTTGCAATGTTATTACGTAGCGTATCTACCTTTACGTGTTTTAAATTGTTAAGTCCTTTATGTCCCCATGTTACCTTAGGCTGCGTTTGGTTGCCACAGAGAGACACTGGGATAGAGACAGAGGCACACGTATCGTGTTTGGCAAGTATCATGCTTGAGAGATAGAGACACAAAGGACACGCGGGACACAAATTCGATGGACACCAGTGTACCTCATGAAAATAAGGACACTGGTGTCCCGGTTGTAGGGACACGGAGAAGTAATTTTTGAAGACAAAAATACCCCTACTAGCTTTAAAATATTACATTCCTACCCTTGGTGCTACACTTCTCTTCTCCATCATCTTCAACCCTAGTCGTGTTTGCAGCCATCTACTTCAACCGAGAGGACCCAAACCGCACCGCCATCACACCTGCAGCTGAGGTAATGTTTGTCTTCGTTCATCAATCTTCACGATGAGTTCTTTCAATTTCCAACTGCTCTCATCTCTTGTGACATCTCGTTTTTGTTTTTGTTCTCCATTTAGGCTCTTCGTGGTGACCATTTGTGAGGATCCTCTGAAAAAGGTAACAACTGCTTATTGCAATCTACTTTTCATGGATAACTTTTACTTTTTTTAGTTTTTGAACATTGTTTTAAATGTTTTATTGTTGTTGTATCTTCCTGCATAATATTGGTTGGGTGTTTATGTAGTGTATGATTCATCTGTAAATTTTCCTTTCCATGTTTAACGGTTGTAGCTTGAAATGGATGTGTCAGTGTCACTGTTTTAAGTTCTTGAACACTGTTTCAAATGTTGTTTTGTTGCTGTTTCTTCCTTGCAAATATTGGTTGGGTGTCTATGTAGCTGGTTATCGAGTTGTAAATTTTGCTTTCTATTTTTAACGCTTGTGTAATAATTCCATTCTTTTCCTTGAAGAGAGCAGCTGCATACATTTTTGTTGACCTGCAATTAATCACAAACTTCCCATAGCAGTTATAGTTGTGATTCAATAGCCTGTAAAACAAATACATAGGCCAAAACAATTAGTCATTTGCAGCCTCTGTTTTGGTTATCTTGTTTTGGTATATAATTGTAATGCTAATTTGTATTTGGACAATTACACAAATATTCATAGTACTTGTGAAGTACATTTTTGCTATTGGAATTTTTGTTTGTCCAGTTAAACTTGGAGTGTGTATAAATGGTTCTTGTTATAAGTGCAAAATCGAGTAGACAAATCATTCTTCATTGTTCAACAACATACCATCCAAGCCAAACTTCTAAATTTGGTATGTTATACCAAAAAAGGACTAGTCATTTGACATTCTGCACTTTGGACAAAATTTGTGTTGCTTAATAGGAAGGGATGAAGCATTTGGACAAAATTTTGATGGTTGTTGCATATTATTGGATGAAGAGGCAAAAATTATGCAACTTCATGGTCATGGTCATGGTCATGTTGAGGATATATATGAATAAAAGGAATAGAAGTATTGATGATGGTTTCCATAGTTGAAAAGTGAACACTAATGTAGTTAGGCAAGATGCACTAGAAAGCATCATTGGGAGTGGGGTGATAGGAATTGTATTTGGGAGTTACGGATGAATTTAAGTGCATTCTCTTCACTATGTGAATTACTTCAAATTCATGGTGGGTTAAATGCTGATGGTCATGTTAGCATAACTGAGCAAGTAGCAACTTTTCTAATGATATTGGCCCACCATAGAAAAAATCGTAGCATCCAAGTTCGTTTCTGTAGGTCAGGTGAAACCATTAGTAGATATTTTAACAAGGTGCTGTGTTCAGTCTTGCGTGTCCAAAGTCTTCTTCTTGCCAATGCTGAACTTGTCCTAGAAGATTGTATGGATCCTAGATGGAAATGGTTTAAGGTAATGTTGCTCAACACCTACTTGTGAAATGTGTATGTGAATATAATGTTTACACAATTAACAATAATTGTTTAGTTTACGATATAGGATTGTCTAGGAGCATTAGATGGCACATACATAAATGTTACTGTGCCGGAGACAGATAAAAGTAGATATTGAACAAGAAAAGGCCAGATCTCCACCAATGTCTTAAGAGTATGCAATCGAGATATGAACTTCGTCTACGTCCTTAGTGGTTGGGAAGGTTCAACATCTGATTCAAGAGTACTTAGAGATGCTATAGCAAGGCATAATGGATTCAAAGTCCCAACTGGTATGTTGAAATCAAAAGTTTGTAAAAAAATAACAATTAGAGTAATTCATCCACTTTTGACTTAATTTACTAATTTTTGTCCTTCTATGTTCATCTAATAGGTAGTTATTATTTAGTTGATGTTGGTTATACAAACAGTAGAGGTTTTCTAGCACCGTATAGAGGTTCATGCTATCATGTGCAGGAGTGGACACAAGGAAATCGTGCACCTCGTAACTCCAAAGAGTACTTTAACAAGAAGCACTCCTCAGTTAGGAATGTCATTGAGCGTTGCTTTGGGCTGCTTAAGAAGAGATGGGCAATTTTAAGGAGCCCATCATTCTATCCAATTAAGACACAAAATCGTATTATACTTGCGTGTTGTCTGTTGCAAAACTTCATTTGAAGGAGTATGGACGTTGATCCTCTAGAGGAGTCAATTGACGATGGTGATCAGATGCTGACAGTTGAAGGTACCATAAATGATGTGGAGACGATTGACTGTGTCGACAGTAACCCTGAGTGGAATCTGTGGCGAGATACTCTTGCCCATGAAATGTTCAAAGAGTGGAGAAGCGAGCGTACCACCTAGAGTTATTTGTAATACAACCCTTAGCATTTATGTTATTTCATGTACTTGGATGATTCTGATTGGTTATGAACAATTGTTGAGTCTTCTATGCATTGTACTCTAGAACAATTTGCAATAAGTCACTTGGTTGAACTTTGAATATGGTTCATGTGTTTATGTTGCATCGTTTTGATTATACTTTTGTTTCTTTTTTTTGTTCATTGCATTTGGCTTGGACTTCTCTATGATGCTTTGGTTTATTAACATTTGTTAAGGGTAGATGGCAAAACCACTTCCACGTCAATGGACAGACAATGAGACTGAGCATTTGGTATGCTTTATGGAAGAATTGGTCGTAGATGGACATAAGGTTGATGCAGGTCAGTTTAAGTCTGGGGGGGGGGGGGGCTTTCCAAAAGCTTGCCGATAAAATGAACGAGAAGCTGCCTAGATGTGGGATAACGGCAAGTCACTGTAAAAATAAACACAAGAGCTTAAAGGAAAAATACCATTATGCTGCTGAAATGCTTAACTGCAGTGGGTTTGCGTGGAATTCGGAAAACCACTGTGTAGACATGGATAGTAGAGATGTGTTGGTGGAGTGGGGAAAGGTACGGTTCAACACTTTGGTTTTTAGTTTATGTGGTTGTTATTGTGAGTAGCGAGAAAATATAATGAAAGGTTGTTGTAAAAAGAATGATTTTTTTTTGTTCATGTTCACAACTAAGCTGCAGTTATTTCTCTGTACAACTGATAACAATAGTACTCTGTTTCTTTGTGATGCCAACATGGAGAGGTTAGTTGACCGATTCAATGATGCCAACATGGAGAGGTTAGTTGACCGATTCAATGTAGCTCAACGAGAGGACGTCAAAATTCTGGCTGATGCAATTACTAGCTTGAATCCACAATCCGATATCGGGACAATGTTGGACAACCTAGGTTTCACTCCAGACGAGGTCAAATGCCTTGGAGTGAAGTTTGCCCAAAACCCAGATTTGAAGACTACCTTTTGAAGCATGGATGCGCACAAGGAGGGATTTGCAAGAAATATATTAGATGCCTAGGTATAATTAGATGTTGTTGTGTATGTCTCTAATACTGATATGGTGTTGAGTGGTATTATAGATCCACTTTATTTTGCTATATTGTGACTTTGTTTCATGACATTATGTTCTATACTGTCTAATTCTGCTACTGATATGGTGTTGTGTATGAATCTAAATTTGATTAGTTGTTGTGCCTCAATTTTGACCATAGAAGTTAGTATAATTGTGCTTTTTTAACATAGAATAAATAGGAAGCAAATTATAGGAATTATACTTTTACATATGCTTTCCACAGCTTTGTGCAGATCATTGTTTGAATCTCATTTCTTGATTCATTACTAACTTATATGGTCAAAAAATTTGGTTATGGATGGTCTTTGTAAGGATAGGTTTGTATCTAAGACCTTGGCTTAGTTCTTACAAATTAATAAGAAGGCACTCCACATCTGCAGCAAATTTAAAAATTTCCTGTGAATCCAAGTTGATCTGCCATGTCTTATTATTGCTAAAATTTTCTTTAACAGTTACAATGCAATGTCACGAAATTAGTGCCAGTCTATGAATTTCCTTTTAACAAGCCTTTCTACCTAATCAATATGGCTTTCATTCACTATGGATCAAGGTAATTTAATTATTGATCAACATGCCAGTAAATTCAAACCCATGTCTAATATGTATTGTTTGGTTCCATACATACACACCTACCATGCCAAATGCATTCTTCCTTCTTCAACAGAAAAATAGTACAAAATGTAGTACTTCTTTACAAATGAAAGTATCATTCTCTATTATATATTACAAATGTCATACCCTCTATAAGGCATGGAAAACCTAAGGTTCAATAAAACTAAAGACACCTCATTTAACATAGTGCATAACCAAGGAAATTACTAGAGCCAGTACAAGTATGTTAGACTTAATCCTCTCTATACGCAACTTTCTTTTTAGCTTCTCAATTTTCCTTTGTGATTCTTCAGGCAACATAGCGCTCCTCAAAGACAGTTGTGATGTTACCTTATCCGCAGTACTTGGAACATCATATATATTTTCATCGTCAACCCATTTAAAATAACCACATGTCCTATCTCTGTTCTGAATTGAATATGCAACGAGAAAATATAAGACAATGAAATCAAAATAAAACAAACAAAACAAATTTGCGTTATCAAGCTTACCATCCAATTGGGACACCTCTAAAATTCTCTTCCACAACTAGCTTGCTTCTTTGAGACCATTAAAATCTTCCTATCTCTACACCCACAAAAAGGATTAGCCAAACTCTGTCGTACGATAATGCATCGAGATCTACAAATTTTAAATAAAATTTCTGAGAGGTATGAAATGAATTTTTCTATTAACGCAACTTGTAACATCCTTCTTTTAATATATAAATAATTTGCATTTATAACTTATATTATTAAAACATGATTAGGGAAAATTGATAACAACTTGTATATTTGGAATAAATGGTATAATATGAAAATACGAATTAATAAACTTTACGAATTTACAATATTTCTCCTTAGAAGATTTCCACTGTCAATAAATAAAATACATAAGTGATTTTATTACATTAAATCAAATTTATCTGAGCAGTTTCTTTCTCACAATCTCTGCCTAGTATGACCCTAAAACGGATCAACCATCTCAATTTCTTCTCTTTCATTACCTGAAAATAATCAGTAAGGGTGAGTACTTCCCGCCCCTCTAAGTCTCTTTTAATATAAATGAATTACCAGTAATTAGAGTTATAACTTAATATCCTATTCTAATTCATTATTAACAGGGTACAGTCCATATTTACATTCATCACATCCAAATACATACAATCATATAATCATCAATTAGAGCACATACCACAATTCACTCATCATACATACTTTTTTATGTTGACCTGTGTGTTATTATACATGTGTCATATCATTTCAATTATGTGTCACAATACATATGTCCTAGTGACACCTGTCAATGTACTACAACACACGAATCATAATAACATAAATCGATCTGCTACGATATATATATATATATATATATATATATATATATATATATATATATAATCATACATATTCTATATCATATCCCATCTATAACACTTTTCATCATAATTGCCCCTGGGATCCCTTGAGGACTTCTACCATAGATAGCTGCTGGCTGGCCGCAACATCACGGATATACGTGTGCCGCTCTGGTCCCTTTTAGTAAAGGTATAGTCAGGAGCTTCATCGGGAGATGAGGGTGTGGCCTGTGAATATTTATTTTCAATAATTTATTGTGCACCCTTTTTATTGTTAACATTCACCATCCTTATTTCCCTAAGATTTCCCAAATTTTCTCCTTAACTCTATACCCCCAGTGTATTGCTATATTATCTATACTCATTCTCAACATTTCTCATTTCACATTTTTTATATCAATCAGCATGTCATGATTCATGAGTCACAATTTATATAAATTCATGGATTACAATATATATGATAACACACCCTTTCAATGTGCTATAATTTATATCATAATCACTCCGTTTCAAGTTGCGTGGACTCATGCATTATAATCACGCCTTATATTCTTTCTAAATCATATTCTCATTTCTTATTCATACATCACATGCTTTCACTTTCATTCAACACTTCATTCATTTCCATAATTCTACCAGTTTAACATGTAAAGTTGTCATAAAAGTCATATCACGCAACCAATACAATATATCAGACTTATTACAGAGACTACCACGCAATATCACACCATACAATCAGTACAATATGCCGAGAGTTGAACACCTTCGGACTTAGCATAGATCGTACAATCTCATATATAGTCTCATAACCTAAAGTTCATTATAGAATATCTTTTATTACTTAATTCATATACATCTTAAGGAACTCAGTTCTAAAATCTCTTAATACTACTTAAGCCCATATTTTCTCTAAAAATATGATATTATTAGTTTAAAATAAATTCCAAACCTCTCTTTATATCAAAATACACCTTTGTCATATGATACTATCAAAATTTACAGAACTTTACTAAGTAAGATACTCATATTTCTCGAAGAACCACTAGATCTATATATACATATATAACTACAACTAGAAAATACTCCCCTTACCTAATAACGATTCCTCCAAACTAGTTCTCTGAGTGATCTACGGAGAGATTCCACACTATCCACGGAGAGATCTTCTAAAAGATAAGATTTTCTAAGTATTTCGAGGTAGAGATCTTAAGATGAGAAGAGAACCAAAGAAAAGGGATAAAATAAATATCTGAGCTCCGAGAAACTTACTTAGATCTGAGAAGAACGGATGTTTGAGCTCAAATCTGAAAGAGATCCAAAGTTATTGGAGGTTTTCTTTGAGAAAGGAGAGGGAGAGAATGAAGAGGATGGATAGGGATATGTGATTTGGTTGAAAATGAAGATTTTAGGGTGAGAGTTCCTTAAATATCTCTCAAACTCGTGACTTTCTTGCTACAGCAAAAAAATCAGAAGTTTTCTTCCTTTACTGTCTGTCGTTCTTGCTACAGCGAGAGAGTAGCATTCTCGCTACAGCGAGAGATTCTAGCTACAGCGAGAGGGCTCCAGAATGTTCCATTTTCACTGCCTCATTCTCGCTACAACGAGATATCCTATAGTTTATATCAATTAAACACTTCTAATTTCAAATAACATGCACAAATAACTAACATTAATTGTAAAAATAATAAATCACAAAATGAGGGTGTTACACAACTCCAATGACAGAGCAATATAATTTTAGAGAGGGGGAAAAGTAAGGTTCACCTCTACATTCCTATTTTTAAAGAACTTGTCTTTTTAAAATATCACTCGTGTAGTCAGATCAAGCTTTTCACATTCAATATAATGATGATCTTTCACTTTCCAAAAACTTGTGAACAGGTAGCCATATAGCAAACCAAATATTTGCAAATATTTATCATTGAGAGAGCATCGACAAAGGAATGAATAAAAAATTAGTACATGAGTATGGGAAAGGTAAAAAAACCCTACATTGTCCTACATACAGACATCAACTTTTTGGCTTTGGAGGAAACAATGAAGCAATTGAAATGTCTACCAAAATCAAATTTAGGACAAACCCATAAAATAGAAAACTAGGGATTATGGTTTACCTTGTCGCCATCAAGTCTTGAAACAGAGGCGAACAACTCCACGAATAAGATGACGTTTCTATATGGGTGATTGTTGACCATGACAGCACACTACGGGGAAGAACAACATAAACAACACACAATCGCGTTATTTATACCTTCTCAGTTTAGCTCAGACCAACAGCCTGCGAGAATCTAGAAGAAGAAGCAGGGTTTTAGGGCAGAGGGATACTCGACGAAGTAGAGGTCCAATCACTGACACAACAAGATTTAGATAGGAAAGAGAAGAATGAATTGTTTGTGTGGAGGCAGAGAGGGTCAAATATAAGATGGTGGGGGTGAATAAAAATTTTAGGGTTCTAAAGAAGAAAAGGGAGGGTATTTTAGTCTTTTCTAATAAAATGTGTGTCTTTACTTACACAACTAAACATAATACAGGAGACAATACACAATATTCTGTATAACATCCAAAACATAAAACACAGACACTACCCACTGTGTCTCTGTCCATCATTGTCTCTATCTCCAGTGTCTAGAGACAGCATCCAAACGCTACCTTAAGTCACATGAAATACGGATTTATCAAATGAGATTTTCATTTTTGTCAATTAAATAGTTATTTTTACTAATCAATTTAAATATATTTTTCATTTTTCTTTAAATATTTATCCTACATGAAATATAATTAATTCTATATTTAAATATCTTGAAAAATTAAATAATTAGACATTTGATTACTTAGATTTATTTTTTTATTTTATTATCACGATATCGATATGTGACTTACATTGCCTTTGATTGATAATTAAGTCATAAGGAATTTATGTGTAGCTTATGTTATCTTAAATTATTTCCAATAAATCTTCAAATCAAGAATAATTTCAAATATTTCCTCTATAAACTAAAAAATAATTTTTAAGGATTTTCAAAATAGTTGTGTGATCTCCATTTACCTTCTGTATCGTTTATTGTCAAATACATGTATAACCATGTTATCATGTATCTTAAATGTTATAATCTTATAAAAATAATTTTAATCTTAAAATAAACTTTTATTTTACTAAACTTGATTTAATCAATCAATTTTAAATTTTTTGTATAGAACTATATGACTTTGAATCCTTTGTTATATTTGAGGATATATAGGAGTAGAAACCAAATCTGTTATGTCAAAATAATTTTGAAAATAAACTTTTCTCTTTTATAAGATATCAATTAATATTTCAGCAAATAATATTTCTTCCTTTAAAATAAAAATAGTAACAATTATTGTTCGGGTGTTAAACAATTTTTTTAAAATTATAATAAATTTTCACAACTAATTTAAGATAACCATCATTTAAATAGACGTTGTAGGGTGTTAATACTATTCGTACACGTAAATGACTCTCAAACTTACTTTTTTGTTTTAGAAATCATGTTGTTTTAATAGTTTTTCTAAGATTTTCTTTAATAAACTTTAGTAGTGATTTTTCTAATTTTGAGAAAACATTTATTCTTAAAATCAATATTTTTCTTAAAGCACTCACTATCCTGTTGCAACACCATGTATATTAGTATAGTTTAATTTATTATGGTTGTTATATATTTTAAAGATGGATTGATAGCATTTCAAAAGAAAAATGAAATTTGGTGCATGATAAACATAGACATAAATATAATCACATGACTACTAACTCGTTAGAAATAGTTCAAAATTTTTTTAAAAGGTGCACAAAATTTTTGAATGACATGTTTCATGAAGTGCACATATGGTTGATTAGTTGAATATTATAGTACACAACCAAAGGTTGAAATAAGTAATCATCAAAAGTATTATGAGCAAGTAATAGATTCTATTAGGAAAAACCAAGAGGTTGGGAGTTCAAAACAAGTTTAGATGTATGACACACAATCAAACATATTTAATGTTTTGAAAGCATTTAATTTAACTTAAACTAGTGACAAAATGATATTGTACAACAAAATTTTACATCAGTTATAAAAGAGTCGATACAAAGGAAAATGTGGTAATGATTTAAAATTTATAAGAACTTCTTTACATTAGTTCTAAAAACAACTGATGTAGAAAGTGGTTTTTGCATTAACTTTAAGAGTAATCAATGTAGAGATCTATTTATTAGTACCAATTTTAAAAACATAGTGTCACCTTTCTCATGTAGCACTTTACACAAAGCACTCTTGGGTTTCATTTCCCTATCGCGAAAACTTGACAATTTCTCTCACCTCTTCACAATAACCTTCTAAATGTTGGTCCTTGTTTAAATCTCGTCATTGCTACAAAAATGTGATTTGTTTTTTAAGATCTTTGCATCATTTTTAACTTTTGGAGAAAATATTTTGCCACTAGGTTGAATGGAACTAGTCTACATTTTAAGTTAGTATATCATTTTTCTTTCTTCAAATGCGTAGAGACTGTAATGCTCCAAATTTTTGTAATAATATTTTGATATATTAATATAAGGGTATATATGAAATTTTCATATGTTAGTATGTTTGATTTATATATGTAATGATGTGCATATGTGTGTGATGAAGTGGACGTGTATGAATATGAGAATATGATCCTCAAATCAGAAAAATCTACCGATACTTCAATCGAAAAACAATCAAAAACACAAATCCAATATCTAGAATAACTGCATATGAATCTTTTTTTTATTTTTTTATTTCCAGGAATATCATCTTCTATGCAACAGTAAAATTGACTCAGTATTGCTCAAGAATAAAACAACAATTCAGTTCAAACATCTATAATTATCCACCCCACATTGTAAGATTTGCATTGTCCTCAATCAAATATAAGAATTAAAGTGCAAGTGAAACTTCCCTGAAGAGTAAGTAAATAAGTAAAGAATCTTGGGAAGCAAAACTAATCTGAGATTGACTTGGAAAGGAAACCTGATTAAAATTGATTTATAAGAAGATTTAACTCAATTCATAATGACAAGAGGAGTAGAACGATCAAAATAATGCGATAAAGAAATAGAAGCAATAAACAGAAAAAAGCAATTTAAATCCTAAACATAACATAAGTAAAAAAATTCAACAACTAAGACTCCTAATTGCAGACTAAATTGCTCATCATCTGAGTCTTCATCATCTATACTAAGAAAGTGGTCAGAAGGAGATAGGGTTCATGCTGGGGCGAGGACACTTATTCAAAATATAAATAAATAAGCAAATAAATAACTAAATTAAAATAAACTAAACCTACCTAACCTAAACTATTCAATGTAATTCAACATTCAACATGGAGGAGTTTAAACTCCTCATTTGCAAAAGTTTGTAGTTGACCCCCTTGGCACAGTTTCAGCCTATGTTCATTCACCTTAAAATTTCCTTTTTCTGGATGAGTTAATTCAATTATACCACAAGGAAATACCTTATGCACAGTAAACGGTCCAGACCAATGGGATTTGGGTTTACCTGGGAATAATTTGAGGCGAGAGTTGTACAACAGTACTAAATCACCTTTTTGAAATAGTTTACCTCCCTTGAATTTTTTATGATGGTAGACCTTCAATTTTTCATCTGGTGGTTCATTAATGGATGGGTTGGGTTGCTTCTCTGATTTCCACTCCAAAACTTTGAAGTCTCTCTTTCTCCATAATGGCTTAGTGGCTTCTAAATGACACCACTGTTCTTGAGTTACCAAACTCATATAATCTTTTCCTCTATCATGAACTAAGCTTCTTTCCAATGGGTTTGAAATCAAGAATTCCTGTGCACAATCAGAAATATAATCATTAATTACATTAATAAAGTAGCAAGAATCATCTTGTTTCAAAGACTTTTTTATTACATCAGGAATTTTGAAAGTGACTTTTTCATCTCCAACCCTCAAAATTAACTTTCCATCCCTCACATCAATTATAGCCCCTGCAGTAGCTAAAAATGGACAACCTAAGATCAAGGGGACATCAGCGTCCTCATCTATATCAAGAATTACAAAATCAACAAGAAAAATAAATTTGTCCACTTTTACAAGCACATCCTCAATGATACCCCTAGGATATTTAATTGATCTATCAGCTAGTTGAATACTCATCCTAGTTGGCCTAGGTTCCCTTAAACCTAATTTCTTAAAAATAGAATATGGCATCAAATTAATGCTAGCACCTAAATCAGCTAAAGCCCTATTAACTATCAATCTACCAATGAGACAAGGAAGAGTAAAACTCCCTGGATCCTTCAATTTTTTGGGCATCTTGTTTTGCAGAATTGCTGAGCATTCTTCATTCAGAGTTACTGTGGCCAACTCCTCCAATTTCTTCTTGTTGGACAGTAGATCCTTCAGAAATTTGGCGTACTTGGGCATCTGTGCCAAGACATCAACAAACGGTAAATTAATATGAAGTTGACGAAATAAGGACAGAAATTTACCAAATTGTTCATCATCCTTGTCTTTCTTCAATCTTGCTGGGTAGGGAAGTGGGGGTATGAATTCTTTCACTACAGGGGGTTTTTCCACAGTCTCCTCTTGACATTTATCCTCCTCTTCAACTGCATCTTTTTCTGTTTCTTGCTTCCCCTTCTCTTGTAATGTTCTGCCACTCCTTAATGTTACTGCATTAACCTGCTCCCTAGGATTAGTCTCAGTATTGCAAGGCAAGCTTCCTTGGGGTCTTTCTAAGAGAAGTCTTGAAATTTGACCCAACTGAATTTCTAGATTATGGATAGAGGCTTGTTGATTTCTTAGTGCTGTCTCCATAGATTGAAACCGAGATTTTGAAGTTTGAATGAATTTGGTCATCAATTCCTCAAGGTTTGACTTCTTTTCAGCTGGGGGTGGTAGTGGATGTGAAGCTTGTTGAAATCTTGTGAGTGTGTTGTTTCGCATTGGCTGTTGGTTGTTGTTCCATGGTTGGTTTGCATAGTTCCTCTAGCCCAAATTATTCATGCCATTATAATTTTGGTAAGGTGGTATGTTTCCTATCACATTGGCATATTCTTCCTGAGTAGCTCGACACTTATAACTAGGGTGGCCTCCTCCGCAAATATCACATCTCATTACCGGAGCAACTTGATGGTTAACGGATAGACCATCAATCTTCTTCCCTAAGGCTTCCACTTGCATTGGCAAGGATGTTACTGCATCAAGACTATAGATCCCCGCCGATTTTGCAGGTTTGGATCGAGTGGAGCTCCACTGATAGCTGTTCATTGCCATTTCTTCAAACAGTTCTTGTGCAGCCCTTGGTGTCTTGCTATTCAAAGTGCCCCCAGCTGCAGCATCTATCATTTGTCTTGTGGCTGGGTTTAATCCATTGTAGAAGGTTTGCACTTGAAGCCAGTCCGGAATCCCATGATGTGGGCATTTCTGCAACAATTCCTTGAACCTCTCCCATGTATCGTATAATGTCTCTGACTCCAACTGATAGAAGGAAGAGATATCATTCCTTATTTTGGCAGTTTTCGCGGGAGGGATATATTTTGCCAAGAATTTTTCTGCCATAGCCTCCCATGAAGTGATAGACCCTCGTGGGAGAGAATTCAACCATTGCTTTGCTCCGCTCCTGAGAGAAAATGGAAATAGCCTCAAGCGGATTGCATCATCAGTAGCTCCATTGATCTTGAAAGTATCACAAATTTCTAGAAAATTTGCAATGTGAGCATTGGGGTCTTCGTCTTGCAACCCATCAAATTGGACAAACTGTTGAACCATCTGAATAACATTGGGCTTTATTTCAAAATTTTCCTGCACATCCGGACGGACAATGCTAGACTCTGTCCCCGTTAATGATGGACGAGCATAATGGGACATGGTCCTTGGTTGATCTTTGTTGTTTGCCATTCCTTCCATGTAGGTTTGTGTGTTTGCTCTCTGTGCTAGCAGTCACCTCTCTTTCCGAATTTTTCGCAAAGTTCTTTCGATCTCTGGGTCAACTTCAAATAGCTCTTCAGACAGTGCAGTAGAACGGGTTTTGATCATACACTAGAGAAATTAGCTCCTAAAAAGAATGAAAGCAAAATAATTAAGTTAATTCAAGACTAAAGAAATAAATAAAATTAGTAAATACGTAATAAAGGGAATCCTAATTAAACAGTTCCTGGCAACGGCGCCAAAAACTTGGTGTGTAAAAATCTGATCACTGGGCAAGTGTACCCGTTGTCGAAGTAATATTATTAAAATTAAAATTAAAGTACCAAGTGTCGTATCCACAGGGACTGTTATTAAGAAACTTTTCCTTAATTGCGTAATTGTTAATAAATATGAAAAATAAACCTTGTTGATGAAATTGCTAAAAGTAAAAGAATAATAAATTAAAAGGAACAGATATTCTAGTGAAAATAAATTATAGAAAATTATGACTAAAGGTATTCAATGTAAAAAGACAAGTATCTAGACTGTAAATCCCCCTAAGTGTCCAAATGACTGAAATTCTTCTTCAACTACTTAGTTCCAAACCCTTATCGTTGTAGGAAATTCCAAATTAAATCAATACCTTTCTCAAGGATAATGATTCCTAACCCTCAGTTGATTAATCAGAATCTCTTCCTTAATTAATACCCCTAGGTTGCATTAAGTTCATTATAAATTCCATAATTAGGGTTAATCCTAACATAGAAAACTCACGTCTTTCTATCTCTAGAAATACATTCAAGTCTTTTTAATTGAGCAAAGTTAAATTCATGCAAGAATTTTACTCAAATTCAAACAAGAAAAAAAAATAGAAGAAAATTGATACTACTCAATTAAACCCAAGAGAAAGGAACATGAAATAACATTAGAAGAATTCCAGAAAATTTAATCAATTAGGATTCATTACGTCTAGATACTCAAAGGAAAATTAGAACCTAAACATCTTCAAATTAAAATTACAAAAGAGATGAAATAAAATGCTTAATCTCATCCTCTTGCCGTCTCTGAGTCTTTCGTCTCCAAAAACTGCCTCCTCAGGTTTGAGTTTAGTTCTCCTTTTATAGGAATTATCCTAGGGTTAATTTTCTCACAAAAGTTAAATTTCTGACGCGCGTAAAAGTACACGCCCAAGTACACGGCCATGTACTTGGCCGTGTACATCTCTGTTTTCTAATAGACGCCTTTCAAAGCTTTCCATAAAAGTACACGCTCATGTACACGGCCATGTATCTGGCCGTGTACATCTCTGGTCTTGATGATACTCTTCAATTGACACGACCAGTGAGATACACGCTCATATACACGGGCATGTACTTGCCCGTGTATATCTCTGGTTTCTTTTTCTTCAATTCTGGACATCTTTAAGGCTTTCACTTCTTGATCCTTTTTCCTGAAATATGAATAAAATGAAATTAATAATAGTAAATTTTATCAATGAATAGCTTAAAACTCTCAATTATCATTCATGAATTACAATGTAGGATCAAGTATAGAAAGCATTTATCAGTAATTCTCCAAATTTTTGTAATAATATTTTGATATATTAATATAAGGGTATATATGAAATTTTCATATGTTTGTATGTTTGATTTATATGTGTAATGATGTGCATATGTGTGTGATGAAGTGGACGTGTATGAATATGAGAATATGATTGTGAAGAGGTTTATATAATGTGGTTGAAATGTGATTGGACTGGAATTGATTGAAAATTTGGCTAAGTGTGTAACGTAGGGGTGTTCTTGCTATAGCGAGAAGGCCCTGAGTGAGCTGGGTGATTCTGTTGTGTTCTCACTGTAGCAAGAAGGCAACAGAGAAGAGTGCATTCTGGGTTGTAGTTTCACTGTAGCGAGAGTGTCTCGTTATAGTGAGATTCTACAGAAATTAAAGTGCAACATCGTCTAAGATTTTTGCTGTAGCGAGAAAGGGGTCTCACTGTAGCGAGAGATGACTTGCTGAAGTGAGAGTGTCATGACGAGAAGGGTATTTGAGGGGTTTAGGGTTTGAGAATCCCATTTCTTATCCTTCTCTTCAAACTCTCTTCGATTCTCTCCACCAAAAACCTTATTTCATCGATTAAATTACCTCCAAAGCCGTTGGAAGCTAGATTGAAGGTAAAAAACGAGTTTGGGGAATTTGGAGGTAAGTTTGTGAGTTAGGATTTTTAGTTTTTCGTTCCTCTTCTTGATTCCTTGGTTTCTTATAGGGTTTTCCCTATATTTAGGACGAAAATCACTGTGGGGAACGTTTCCATTGTTGATTTACGTTGTGAGTCTTCAATTTGAGGTAAGGGGGGACTCTACCCTATATCTTGTGTTTAAATTTCGTTTATAATGCTATGTAATGGATTGTGGTTGAGATAGAATGTAGGAAATAAGTGTGTTTTGATAAAAGATTCTTGATTAAGATTGATGAAATGAATATTGGACATGTGTGAGTGTGGAATGGCTTGATTGTGGTGAGGTTCTAGGAAATTGGATGGTTGTGTGCAATGTGCTTAAATGTTGGCATACGTGCCATGTGTGAAAGTAAATATTGTAATATGATTGAGATTGTGGGTGAAACTATGTGTTAGCATGCCATCACTTGATGCAAAATAATTGAATATGTTGGAAAGCTATGAATGGTTCAGCGATACACTGAGGGTGTAGAAGATGAGGGCGGTAAAAATATCTTGGGGAAGAGAGGGTGGTGGTGACACCAACAATGAGCATGGGTGCACCACAGGCCACACACTCTTCTCTTGACTCGACCTTTGACTAACACCTTTACCAAGGGGCCCATGACCGCACACATTGTCCGGCGACCATCCATGGTGCGAAACTGAGTAAGTCTCTAAAGTTGAGGGCATTAGGAATCTATGATCACAGTGCCACAGTGAGTATGACTAGCGTGCACTGAGCACACATGGGTGTGAATTATTTGATGGTATAGTGAGCGCACATGGGTGTGAATTGTTTGATGGTGCACTGAGCGCACCTGAATGTAATGAAAATAAAATTATTATTTTGTGTTGTGTGATGAATGATTTATATTATGATGAAAATGTGTAGAAATATGCTAGGTGAGTCTCTATGCTTGTGCATGCTTAATAGTGTAGAGTACCCACCCTTATATTTATTTTTAGGTGACTAAGATAATCAGTACCAGGCTCAGTGAATGGATGGATAAGATTGCTATAAGACTTAGAAATTTATTTAAAAATTTGACGTATTTAAATTAGTCCTGTAGCATTAATTTGATATGAATTATAATCCATCCTTATTTTGAAAAGACTTTACTGAACTTATGCACTAAGAAATTATTTTAATGAATTTTTATTATTCCCAATTTTGCAATAACTGTCCCTTGGAATTGGCTTGCTGTAATGATTACTATGGTGTATGAAAGTAGTTACTTTCACCTCATATTTTCCAAATAGCCAAAAATCCATGAAATTTGTCTGGAATTGTAACATCCTCTTTTTATTATTTAGAAAATTATGTTTTGTTTGATATTAAATAGCATTAAAAGGTGTAGTAGTGTATTTTGAAGAGTATTAGAGGAAGTTAGTGCAGGGAATCTCGTCCAAGCAAAAGAAATCTCGCTCAAGCAAGACTAAGCGCCCAGAAATATCTTATTTCAAAGCAATCTTACTCAAGCGAGATATGATAGAATTTTCCTAACCGTCACCTCGCTCAAGCGAGATAGAGATCTTACCCAGGCAAGCTATGTTGTTCAAGTGAGGACTCAAAGGAGAAATATTGCCCTCTCTGGTCACTATCTCGCTCAAGCAAGCATATCAGAAAAACGTTGAAAAAACCATTGTCTGCATATTTCGCTCAAATGAGAGATATATCGCTCAAGTGAGATGTCGTCACTCAAGCGAGTTGTTTCTCGTTCAAGCGAGAGTGCGTGGGGTTGAGGGGTATTTAAGAGATTTCTAGCATGGAAATTCATTTTCATTTCTACAACTCACGTCCCTCTCTCATTTCTCT